TTGCTTCAACATGCATTCAGCACTTTGTTGAAACAAATGTTCGGTACATTTAAACAGGTCGTCCAACATTGTTGAAAACGTAAAACATGTTGAAAGCCTTTTTGAAGGCGTGTTGAATCAAAGTTAAATCGGTTTGAACTTTCATTCAACATCGATTCAACTTTTCCTTTGTAAGGCCTTTGTGAGGTCTTTAAAAAAGACCTCCGAACAACTTTGTTTTCGCATCCAACATTTGCCCAACATCCGTTCAAATTTAATTTTGTTCAACGAATTAATGTTGGTCAAATGTTGAAACCGTTTAAACGGGCCTTAAGGGTATATATAGATGTTGCTGGATATCTCTAACCGCCTCCCGGTTAGCTCAATTGGTAGAGCGCCGGACTGTTGTGCGGGAGGTCGTGAGTTCAAATCCGGCCGGACCAACACTCAGGGTCTTTAATTAACTGAGAAGAAAGTGCTGCCTTTGTAATAATATCTGCAAATGGTTAGAGTTTCTAGTCTTCTCGGATAGGAAAGATAAATGGAGGTCCCGTCTCCTGCAGGGTTAGGGTAGGAGACGTTAATTTCCCGCACACGAGATTACTGTGTGATGGATGTCCTCCCCGGGGTGGGACGGGTGGGTAAAAAAGGGGTTGACGAAAGTTCTGTTCCTTTCTCCTGCCATTCCTGTGGCGAATGAATTAAACTAAACTAAACTAAACTTAAACTTAAACTAAACTAAACTTAAACTTCAACTTAAACTTTTACTGCGGTTATGTGGTGAATAAAATCTCAATTTGTGGTGTTGCGGTGATCACAAACCCCTCGGTGTGCGATTTTTGTGTTTTTCACGCTGCGGTGTTCGGTGAAATGAAAATATTTGCGGTGCTGTGATTTCTTGTTTGGTCTTTCTCACGTAACATTGTGTTTAATTTTTAATAAATTACAGACCAACATTGTCAAGTCAATCTTCAATATGCTTAACCTGCCAATACGAAGCTGTTTTTGTTAATGTTGTTAATAAATACATAACTTGACAAGTAACTTGACCTCTTCCACCCGGAGCTCAGCCTTCTTTAGACACGTGGAAACCATGGCCGAGGTCATAGAAATTAATCCTGGAAATTCTGGAAATGACGAGAAGGAATGCATCATCGATTGCGTGGTTTTTTTCTACGAAGAACGAAAGGGGGGCGAAAACTACCGGTCGAAAAATACAGATGTCGTGTCAGTAGGGAGGAAAGACGACTTTGTAAGCTAAGGGAGTGTATTTGGTAAGTTTGTAACTGAGACACTTTTAGATACCTTTACTATTATTTCTTCTTTGACCTTTTTCCTTCGCTATTCTTTATATCTGAAAGTCGTCAGAGTTTAGGGTCGTCCAGAGGTCATTTTGATACCAGTCTATATCGACTTTCTCGATTTTTCATTTTTTTAAATGATTATCGGTATCGAAGGATAATACCTACAAACCGAGTTCGAGGGCCGTACTTAGTTCTTATTGACCGAGCGGGAGGTCTGTATGGGAGAGTCTTGACCGAGGTCGCCATTACAGACCGAACGCAGTGAGGTCTGTACCAGCGACCGGGGTGAGTAAGATGTTTATTACATGGCTGTGTCTTATATGCCAATTTTTTACATTCTCAGCACCTTTTTCTTCTTGACCGGTCTAGATGCCGGTCTAGATGGGAAAATCTACACCGCTTTCAATATTGATTTCAGCTAATCAAATTCGTGAATTCGGTAGCTCCCAGTCCTTGTGAGACACAGCCATATAATAATGTAAGTTACGGACCGAGTTTTCTTCGGTCAGATTTATGGCCCAAGCGCGAGCTGCGCGGGCCATAAATCCCACCGGAAAAACTAGGATTCGTAACTTACGGTACGAGCCGAGAAAACGAGGTTAGTAAGATATTTATTATATCTCTATGGGTTCACAAATAAACTTTTGAATTTAGGGGGCCGTACAGTAAAGCCCGCCAAATTGACCAATCACAGCGCGTTTACTAACTGAGAGATATAATAAGAAGGGGTCATCGAGCGCGCTCCGGAGAGCGATACCGGTAGATCTTTTTCACTGTCACGCAACGAAAAAATAAATCGAAAAATCTTCTGTGGATATAGTTAAGAAATTGTGATGCTATAAGAGATAGATGAAGAAGACTCTTCTTCAACTTTAAGGTCTCTGCGTTTTCCCAAACTTCAGATATTCGTCGAAATGGGTTTGCGCAAATTTACAGCGCAGTTACAGAGCCCGGATATGGAGCCGCCATGTTGGTTTACCTCCGTGACACACTCTTTTTTATCCATAAGAACGTCAAGTTTTAGAGCTGAGGCTGAACTTTCATATATCTTTTTACGATTTGAGGCTGAAAACGTTCTTAAGACGTTCTTAAATTTACATGGCACACCGTATTTGCATAAATTAAAGCTGAGAGAATGTAAAGTGAACTACCTTGAAAAGACTTTTGCATCACCTAATGAATTTGATGACCAGGAACGCAAGTTGAAATGGGCTGCATTCATGATTGATCGTACCTCCTTTTAGTACTCCACTGTTTCTTGTTCTTGATTGCAACCGGAGATGACATTGTCAACATAGATATTCTCTTTCATGTCCTCAGCTACCAGTGTGGTATTTTGGCTTAGGTGTTGGTGTAGTGTTGCATTGAGCATGAACGGGCAACTTGTCGAACCAAACAAAACAGGGTTGAATCGGTACACTTGTAAGTCACTTTCCGGATCCTGGGGGTTTGAGAGCTGGAGAAATCTTGTTAAGTCTCTATCATCCTCATTAAGACCAACATGAAGAAATGCCTTCTCAATGTCTGCTGAGAAGCCAAAGGGGAACGAACGGAACCGAAGGATAATGGAGCACATGTCATGGGTGAATGGAGGACCAACAAGGAGACAATCATTGAGACCAGGGGTGTCCGGGGTGGAGTGGAAACTGCAATCGTAAACGATTCTAATGGGTGTTGTAGCTGACTCTTTCTTGACTGGGTGGTGGGGAAAATAGTGAGCTTTGTCTGTAGTCTGTAGTATGCGCGTCATCTACTCTCTCAATAAATCCCCGTGCTTCATGTTCAGATATAATGTTGCCATAGGTGGTCAGGAGGTCAGGTGTGGCAGCGAGACGGCGAGCCATAGACCGGGTGCGTCCCTTACATTTGGTGTAATTTGTTGGGAGGGGGGCTGCGTCATCCTTCCATGGGAAATTTGCACCATAGCAACCATCTTGATTTCTTGAGATTGATGTGTTGATGTAGTTTTCCAGGAATAGCTCATCATCATTCTTCTCTGATTGTGGAAGGATGCCCACGGTCTCTGGAGACCAAAATTTCTCTAGGTCAAATTCATCCTGCTTTGTAGATGATATTGTTTGGAGCAACTTTACAACAGTCATGGAGGGTTGGCTTGTGGATGTTTGTAATGGTCCTGAAAGAAGGTAACCGAGTTTTGATGCAACAGCAGTGGGTCCACGTCCACGGGGCCATT